CCTACGTATAAACCTTTACATATGCCTATCTCGCATGTTTAAAAGTGGGGCTTACATTTGTCATGATAAAAAGACTTCTGGACAGGGATATTACCACATTGTATCGTCAAGACGTTCATACTTCGGGGATGGCTCGTAGGCAGTATTATGGGAGATTACCTTCTATTATCAGTTTTTACTGCGGTACAAAAGCAGAATGCTAATTAAAATAGAGCAGTGGTCGAAGGGACTCCAAATGGAAGTCGTCAAAGCTCGATGAAGTTTCAGGNTTCCAACTCACGACCAGCTATATTTCTTTTCATCCCTGATCGCATTACTTAGTATCAAGTACTTCACTGGGAGAAGAAAAAAGCTCTGTCAAGGTTCCAATGCATCTTTTTATAAATTTCATAAATCGAGAGTCTCAATGAATCACCTAGCAATCTCCTTAGTTACTACACACCCATTATATAAATAACCCATGACCTTCTTGGGCGATGCAAAGAGCGCAATACACTGATAGATAGCGAAAATTGACGTAGAATATGTAAAAAGAGACAGGAATTGAGGCGAGGTAAGTAGGCTTTGTGTGTAGAATATGACCCTAACTTTTTTAAGCAACATATCGTCAAAATCTAATACCCTGTATCATGAAGAATTACTTGTGGACAGAAGAAAAGTGGATCGATGCGTAACGCATCTTTTGTTCATCCTTGCGTTAGCGTTTAAAGGCACTGTTCACGATAAAAATGGTTTCTGAGATTCTTTCACCGGCACTGTAGAGGCTGCACCGATCACAGGGTAACCCATGTAGGAAATTCAAATAACTTGCCATGACCCATAGCGACTTTGAAAGACAATTTTGTGCATTTTTTCTTTTTTTTTCTGTGCATTTTTGAATTTTCTCGCTTGATGTAGTCAGCTCTTTGTGCAATTTCAATAACTAAAATCTCGTCCGAATACCTCTTCCATATTATTCCCTCCGTCATGACAATCTCGTCGAACCTCTATTTCCCCCACTTTTGAGAAGCCATATTTTTCTCGAAATCGGCGAATTCTCTCGCTTTCTTCACTACCAATGAACTAGCCCTAATCTATACATCCGCTTTTCGAAAAAAACGGGTACCTCAAAATTATCGTGAACTGTGCCTTCAACCAAGCCTACCCTCCCTTCTGGTCGGTTAATTGGTCCCAGGCTTGTATGAGAGAATTGAAATCGTTGACTAGCACATCGGTTGACTGTCTTCGTGTACAAGTCATTGTATAGGCCACCGTATGCATTCAAAAGGCTCTATTATTCTGAATGGAAGTGGGATGCTAGGGCGCATCCAAAAACCGGAAAATCGGTGGACTTTAGGATTTTCATACAAATAACAAGTAGGAAATATAGTTGTTACTTAAAATAGTAGACAGATGCAGGCAGTGCAGAGACTACAGAACAAAACGCGGTGCTCCATACAAAAACCAAGAAGAGAAGCTTCTCAAGCCATCGAGCTCAACAGAAGGAATGTTCTGTCTTGGCATTATCCGAAAAAGCAAGTTAAAGAAATCATGAAGATTCGAAGACGAAGCGCATCAGTTGGTTCTGGTCAGGAACCCATACAAGTTTATAACACAGTAGATACTGAGGCGGTTGTAAGATTCTATACCATTTTGACTCATTTAAATGTATGGAAGATCTACGTGCGATGATAGGGGGACATAAACCTTGAACAGGAATCATGGTTCACGCCATTCCATGTCACGTCGGCCAGCAGGAAATGGCGCTTCTGGAAAAACAAGCTATTGAGGCGCCTTGTATTGATTAGCATCGAAAATTGGTTGAAAATCGAAATTCAAAGGTTCTAAATGGTAACAAAAGTAGAATCATTTGCTCAGTTATTAGAAGACAGCATTCCTGTGCTTCGGTTTTTCCAAAAACGCGATCAAATGGGTCCGAGCGTTCCCAAAATCACATTATTGTGATCACTTTGAATATGAAAGTTTTAGTGGAAAAAGGATAGGCAAAGAGGGATGAATAAAAGGCACGTAAGGGAATGATTCACTCAGTGATTCAGGTCATTAGGTGGCCGGAAATTTTCGAATATATTTCAAAAATGACGCAGGCTAATTGTCGATTCAAACACTTTTAACCAGTTTGGTGACAGCAGCAGGGCCCCTCCTGCTTCCAAAACGAATGTTCTCAGAGTGTGTTACATGCTGGACGTTAATAGAGACACAAGTACAGGGTGCGCCATAAATATGGTAACAAAAGAGTTGGGCTACAGAATTCGCGGTTCGTATTGATACACGGTGAATTTATGTGAGTTATTTACTATGCATCGCATCTACAAAACGAACACACTGTCATCTCAAATAACCGTCTCCTGTACTATTTATAGCTCGAAGACGCTTCGGCTACTAATCGACGGTGGCATACAGAAGTTCTTGAAAAACTCCAGCTCGGCTTTTTTCAATGATTTCTCAGGAGCAGCAACAGTGGTGCGTGTTGGAGAGCAGGCTTCCCTTTCCAGTATGGGCGCTGTATCCAGCACATTATGGTCCGCGAAATTCGTAGGAGGATTGGAAGCTGGGATAAAGTCGCGAACATTCCCTCAGCAACAGTCTTGATCTTTTCCCATTCGTGAGCAAGTGCGCCGTAGTTTTCAAATCGCATTTCTGGCAAAAGATCCTAGATCTTCAGCTGCGTCCTCTCAGAAAAACCCTTGTTAACAAGGTTCGGATCAAGTTTTTTTTACCTTTGTCGACCAAAACTTGCAGTATCGCTCTGATGGTAAGGATTCTAGCCCAAACCATCTTGAAGGAGGGAAAGTAGCTACGAGAGGCGATCCGACTCTCCTCAGCGGCTTCTGCACTCGTGGTGTAAAATATACGCATTCTCTGTGACCTCAACATTTCCTCTACGCTTAACACCCTTTAGTCAGAAAAAAGTGTGTCGAAGCGCGTGCCGCGCGCAAGTAGCGCACGGCATCTTCTTCTCGTCAAGAAGCTTTTGAATCATTGCTGGACATTACTGTATTATATTTACTCAGATAGACCCTTTTCCTCATGGGAGTGAAAACACAAACAAATCACAGTCACTTTCCCCGTATTTGTGCAAGTTCCCTAGCGTACTCCTTCCCAAGCAATTGTTATGTATTCGGAAACCGTTTTGATGTTTGTCGTTGACCTGTCTACGTATCGCGATTCAAGAGACTGTCATGTGGGAAACGTTGAAACGAGGAACTAACCCGGAAAAGGGCTCACCAAAGGCACGCAACGGAACTGTCGGTGGATGGATGTCTGCGGGGCTCCACCGTTTTTCGAAATCTGTCGAATTAAGAGCCCCAGAGAAGATATGTGGGCTAAGGTATAACATAAATATAAATGAATGAGCAGAACTGGAGAAACCCTCGAAACAAGGAAATTACGGACACCCGAAAAGTTGTTACCATATTTGCCGCGCCCTACCGCGTAGGCCAAGCTTTGGACAATTGTATTGGTCTTACTGTAATCTTTCTCATGTATTATACTATGCGGTAAAGGATATGGAAAGGAAAGAATGGGTAAAGGGCTCTATAGTAAGGTCCAGCAGTGCTTCTTAAGCCGTTTAAAATGTACGTGCGACCTATCTTTGAATATGGGACGGTTATATTTCCCCTTTACAGAAAGAAAATAATTCAAGCCATCGAGCGAGTACAAACAATTTCACTAAGAAAGTTTTTATAAGAGCACTTAGGTCGCTTACAATAGCGTCCGTCGTGCTATAGTAAGAAACAAAATGTTGAACTCAGACTCTTTCAGCAAAAAAAGGGCGGTAAATGATTTAATGGCGGTGCATAGAATTCTTCTGAGCACAATTTTATTTGACGCTACCAAGTTGTTTTCCTCAAAAGCTACAAAAACCAGAGGGAACTCAAACAAATTATGTTTTGTTCCGGTCAAGGGTTCACTAGGCAAAAACCTCCCTACGCACACAGCTGGCTCAGAGTATATTGAGTTCAGCAAAACACTTATTACTCAGTCAATCTCCCCTAAGTGAGACGAGTCCGGTCAAGGGTTCACTAGGCAAAAACCTCCCTACGCACACAGCTGGCTCAGAGTATATTGAGTTCAGCAAAACACTTATTACTCAGTCAATCTCCCCTAAGTGAGACGAGAATTTTCCCAGTTCCTTGGGAATCACAGCTGGTTGTCACCTTAGTCTTTATTGTTGTTATTCTCTCTAAGATCCATGTTACTATTGCCTCTATACTTTTTTGTTGGGTTCCATTAGTTGTTCATTAATGGTATGTCCGGTACTAACGTTGTTTTGATGTTGATTGTTGATTGCTGTTTGTTGTTATTGAACGTGTTTGTTTGTTTTGATGTTTCTTTCAAATGTTCCTCAGGGCATGTAATAAATTCAAATTTCAAGGGCTTCCAAGCAATGGATCGAAACCAATTAGTAGGCCAAACAATCAGGTGAGTAGATTAGGTGACTTTCAGCAGGGCTTAAAGCTACAAATCGATTCATATTAAAAGTAGTTAAACAGGTAGAGACAACAATTTCTGGATCGTTTTCCGAGTGTAAAAAATAACATGCGACACATCAAAATTACTAATTCTGAGCTGTGCGCTGCTAGACCACCCTGGTCATGGTAGAGATTTCCTTAAGATTTATTACCAGGGATCTACTTGAATTCTTGGTGACATTGTTATTATAGCAATCCAAAAAAATGAGTGTTAGTGACAGATCAGACATTTTTTTTTCGGGGTTTCCTTCTGGACATTCGTTACAGGTCGGAATGGCGGCAGTGAAGCACAATAGGCCTGTTGACGTCGGTAAATAAACGGATATAATTAGTGCGTATAGCGGACAAATTGACAGACCTCCTCCTCCGGGCAGCTTGAAACCGCCCTTTCAATCGCATGGTCAATCCAGTCGAGAAACACCTGCTCTCATAGGCTCTGTTTCATTTTTTTGATACCGGTGCTATCTAACGGTACTATCTGTCATTCTTATTGCCAGTGAGGTCACCAATTCCTCGAAAGCCCCACAAATGGCATTTTTCAAATCCTCATCGTCACGTCAGTTTATATGGATGGTTTGTGCCCCTCCCTAACCCTTTCATTGAAAGGTACAATAAGTAGGAAAAAGCTGCCCGTTGGTCTAGCTAAAGATGTACGGCTGCTGATCTCGGCTAGAATCTTCTGATATGCTTCAGTTTCCGTTGAAAGCTATAATATCTGTAAATGAGCTTCGATGCTCATTCAGCTCGCACAGTATTCATAAATATTTCACATCTCGTTGAACGCTGAACGAAATCAAGCACTGCGCAGGTTCAGGAAAGTAAGATCATTAGGCTTCTACTCCTAGTTTTTGTTCTCATGATGAAAAAATAACCTATTAAC